AGGTCAGGCAATGGAACAGCTGAATGTTACAGAACATACCACATGTCAGTCATACACCCAGGCAGCATTAGTGGGCTTGGGTAAGCTATTTGCTAGCAATCTGGGGAGCCCCTGGAAGCAGGGCTTTGCAACTGTGGAACCTAGGGATGGATGCATTGTTTGGTCTCCAGAGGAGACCAAACATCCATTACCACCCACTTCTCCCTGAGACAGCAACTGCAATCATCGCAAGAGTGGAGACCATCATCGCTGCCTGATAGTTTGCTTTATGCAGCTGCATGAACTGTGTGGACTGACCTGGAGAACTGCCAGAAACTGTGGGTAAATGGCAATCCTGTGCGGATTTGGAGCAGATTCAACAGGAGCTTGGTATGTGTCAGGCAATGTTTAATCTGAATTACTGGGGCCAGGTGATGGAAGATTTACCAGTGGCATGAGAGACTTGGTTCTGCAGCCTGCTCCCCCTGCAACATTGGGTCCTCGATGGCTATTTTAGACCCATATGTTGGTCGCCCCATTTAATGAGGTTACTACCATGATGGCTAGCCTGAGAGAAGCTGAGAGCAGACAGCAGTCCAAAAATGTGTACAGGAAAGGGCCTGTATGCAAGACAAAGGAAGGAAGAAAGGGCCATCAGAGTGTCTTGCATGAAATGAGGGCTGACCTGGCAGCAGGGGTAGATGGCCAGAAGAGACAACCAGCCTAATGTGGTCCTTCTGGAGCTGTGGAAGCAGCTATGCCAAGAGCAGCAACTCATGAGAGTGGGCACAGGTGAGAAGCACCCTCTACTGACATCTATCCACCTAGAGACGCCTGGAACTGACAGCCTGACAGACAGGTGGACACACACTCCTGCAACTTCTCCTCAGATGGCTTGTAGGTGAGGGGGTTCCATCTGGTGTGACTGATGAACAAGTTTCCGTGAGGTTTGATAGACCCATGAGTCTGTGGGCTTGATTCAATGCAACACCTTCATAGGTGAGGAGCACCACCAACAGATTTAGGGGTCTGTGCCTTACTTACTTGGGGTGGTACTGTGCAGGTGCTGGCTGTAGACTGGTACAAACAAGGTGCAGAGCCCCTCTCCTCTGGGTAAACCACTGCTTTGAAGAGTGGAGTGGAAACTCAGAGCTAGGCACGGCCTCAATGGTGCCATTCTGGGCCTTCCAGAGTTCCTGGGAGGGGGGCACAGCCTGCTCTCCACACCCACCTCACTACCCAGGGATGAGTACAATTTCATCACTCACTCCTAGGTTTGAATCCCAGATGAATGGGTGCTGGGAGCACATCTGAGCAGAGCTGAGCCAACCAGGCCCTGCAGCCACCAGCATGCCCCTGGCAGACAGGAAGGGCATGTGAAGCTATGGAAGTCTGCTTTGCAGCAGCACAGCACCCAAAGCTGACTGATTTAGCCCTGTAGTCCCTGATTTGGTTGACTAGAGATATTTAGAAGTCTACAACAAAACTGGCATTACTTTAAAATCCCAGCAGTTCTAGAAAGTGCTTTCCTCTAATCACTCGGCATACAGTTGCTGGAAGGGCTGGGTTTTCATTGTTCAGTCACTTTATTTGTGGGCAAAGCTAGGTCTGAATTACCAACATGACAGCAGTAGCCGGTGATTGAGTCGGGGGCAGAGGCCTTGTAGGTGGAATGAGGTCCTCGTGAAGGGGCTTGTAGGCATGGTTCTCTCTTCCCCTCCTTCATCAATAAGGATGCTAGCAGGCATCATCTATGGCCATCTATGGCCAGACACCAAGCCTGTCTGTGCTTCACCTCGGACTTCTTACCCCCAGAACCTCGAAAATGAATTCATGTTTTGTGTAAATTATTTACTCTGTGGCATTTTTATGTTATTTTGTACACATGCCTACACATCTACGAATATAGTGGTGGTTACTGGCTTTGGTCTGGTTTTGCCCCTGGCCCTGACTTATCATTACCATAGCCCTAACATCTAGAACAATGGGAACATCTTCCATCAAATCACCTGACCTTTCTGTTCTTGGTTCCTGGTATAGCTTTAGAGCAATAAATGTGAAACGTGGCTTTTTGTTAGAATCTTGGGTTACCTGAGGCTCAGAAAGCAAATTCCCATTCATTCTCATATTCTTTCTCTCCCCCCCCCCCCCCTCTTCTACCTTCTTTTTACCTGTTCTTTCTCTCCTGAAGGCAATCTTTCTTCCCCAACCTTGGGTCATAAGAACTAACAGTCACTCTAATCTTTCCCTGACTTTCTGTCTTGAAGCTGCCTTCAAGATCTACCCCATCTGGCAGTGGATCATTTGACCCCTGTTGTAGAGGGGTCCTGCACAATACCCAGGAGGAAGGAATGCTGCAGAGAAGGGCTGTGAGCAATCTGAAAAGACAGGCCTCACTGGGTTTCCCACCCAGTCTCTTTGCCTTAATTCACAACCTTTGTGTTCAGTTACATTTATACATGGTCGTCCCTGCTTCAATCATGTCTGTGCAATGAAGTCTCCATAAAAAAAAAAAAAACAAAGTATAGGGTTCAGAGAGCCTCTGAACACTTGGAAGCTCATAGGAAGGTAAGCATCCACATGTCAGGAGGGTGGAACACCCCAACCCCACAGGACAGAAGCTCCTGCACTGGGGACCTTCTAGAACTCACCCTGTGTATCTCCTCTCATTGATATGGTATCCTTTAAAATACCCTTTATGGTAAACTGGTAAATGTAAGCATTTCCTTAAATTCTGTGAGGACTCAAGGGAAGAATTCCTAGTGATGAACTTGACTATGCTGTAAAATGCCACTGGAACTCAACTTTCTCTATCAAACGCCATGGGGTCAAGCCGACTCTCTCATAAGCTCTGGGTTGGTGCTCAGCCAGTCAGTTTTACATGAGATATAAGCAGCCCCCTTAGAGTTGGACATGAGTTGTCTCAGAGTCTGTGGCCCAGCCCTACTCCAACTTTCTAACATGAGCCACACCTAAATGTGAACCTGTTCTGAATGCAGAAACAGACTTCCAGTGGACACAAGGCAAGAGCCTTGAAAAGGTCATTAGCACAAGTTGCCCAATTTATATGACTTATGTCTAAATAATGGCTCAGGGAAATGTAACATCTGATTGGATTAATGTGCACAGTTGAACCAGGCGCTGTCAGTCTAGCTGTCTAATTGGATAAAACAGCGACAGCATGTCAGCCAGTCAGAACCTCCCAATGGACCTCCTGTGCCAGAAAAAAAGCAGGTTATGTGCAGGAATGCCAGTACTTTTAAACATAAGATGACCAATAAATAAGAACCAAGGTGTTCGATAAATTGAAAAGGATTCCCTATCATTACTGAAAACATTTTGCTGATATTGAACAGTTATCTTTTTAAGCAAGCAGTAAACTTTGAATAAAGTAATAACTGAAGCCAGGCATGATGGTGCCTACCTAATTTAATCCCAGAGGTTTGAGAGGCTGAGGCACAAGGACCAGAAGTTTGGGGCCAGCCTCAGCAACTTAGCGAGGCCCTAAGCAACTTAGGGAGACCCTTTCTCAAAATAAAAAATATAAAGGGCTGGAGATGTTGTTCAGTGATTAATTGCCCTGGGTTCAATCCCCCAGTGCCAAAATAATAACAACAACAACAAAAAAAAACACACCTGACTGATCATGTCTCATCCTGATAAAACAAGACCTCTCCAACAAAAACCCCTGCACCATTGTTGATGACAAAATACATCATTGCCCAAGTGATAAGAAAGTCCAGTTTTAGGGGCTGGGGTTGTGGCTCAGTGGTAGAGTGCTCACCTAACATGTGGAGGCCCTGGATTTGATCCTCAACACCCCATACAAATAAACAAATAAAATAAAGGTAGCGTGTCCATTTACATTTTTTAAAAATTAAATAAATAAATAAAAAGGAAGAAAGTCCAGTATGACCTGGAGCAGAAGCCCCTGGAGGGATAATCTAGTGGTCATGCTGAGGAATACTGGAGATGGAATGTGGACCAGATGGACTCTAAGAAGTTCCAGGGGCCTCAGAAGTTTCAACTTTCAATTTTTTCAATGTCTGGGAAATTGAACTGGAAGCATGGGGTGAGTGACTCATGAGGAAATAGAATGAAGAGTGGCTGAGGGACAGGTCTGAGAATGCTTCACCCTGAGACCCTGGAGGGAGGACTGAGGCAGATCCAAAGCTGGGCAAAAGGGTGACTTGCTTCTCTTGTTTGGATTGATGAGTGAAAACAAGCAGTACAGTTAATCATGTACTGCAAAGCGGGCTTGGGTCAGGGTAGTTAACTGGGTGAAGAAGTGGGTAGGTTTAATTGCTTACACACTAGGTTGAACAGAGTAGCAACTGTGGAGGAAAAGAATTAGAAAGATAAGTATTGGTTTAACAAGATTTGTTTACACACGTTGGTGTGTAGAGCTGAGGTGGGTGACCCACCTCAGCCTCTCAGCCCTGACAAAATGTTACTTTCTTTTTTTTTCTTCAAAACATTACTTTCTAATATAGTTTTTAATTTGTTTTAAGTGCTGTTAGTTCATATTTTTAACCCCACAGCATCCCTCTCCTCTAGGCCATATGGGGAAAGGAGTTATCTGACCATCATAAGGGATGGGAGATTCCTTTAAACTATGGCTATTTTCCAGATTCCCAGAACTCCCAGAAAAATTCAACATTATCACCATGTAAAAACGCAAAGCACAGTGCTGGCTTCTAGAAGGTTCTTCCCACCTTGGTAGGCGAGGAAAGGGTAGGAACATGGCTGAAAGGAAGTGAAGGAATCCTGGAAAGGAAAGAGACTCAGGGCCACGCACAACCTGATTGGCCCTGACATGCTGCTGCTGTTGCTGGGAGCTTGGAGATCAAACGTGAATATAAGAGGCAGGCAGCCGACCGACGTAGCCCACGGACCAATCAGAATGTAGTCTGTCATCACGCCACCCGGTGGCCAGCCAATGGGAACACAGGAGGTTCTATAAAGGTGGCCTGGCTCCGTAGTTCCAACAGTCAGAGAAAGACAGAAGAAGTACCAGAGCTATGGCTCGAACCAAGCAGACGGCTCGCAAGTCTACCGGTGGCAAGGCACCACGAAAGCAGCTGGCCACCAAGGTGGCTCGCAAGAGTGCACCTGCAACCGGAGGAGTGAAGAAGCCACACCGCTACCGACCAGGCACTGTGGCCTTGCGTGAGATCCGCCGCTACCAGAAGTCTACTGAGCTGCTGATTCGCAAGCTGCCGTTCCAGCGCCTGGTGCGCGAGGTTGCGCAGGATTTCAAGACCGACCTGCGCTTCCAGAGCTCCGCTGTGATGGCTTTGCAGGAGGCTTGCGAGTCCTACCTGGTGGGGCTCTTCGAGGACACCAACCTGTGCGCCATCCACGCCAAGCGCGTCACCATCATGCCCAAAGACATCCAGCTGGCCCGCCGCATCCGCGGGGAACGGGCTTAGGCCCCTAGGGTCACCCACTTCGTGCTCTGTCACCCCAAAGGCTCTTTTCAGAGCCACTCAATAAGTCGGAGAAAGTGGCTGTACCACTCTGGGGTTTCTGGACCACAGGGTTTCCTCTCCTTTTGCTCCCTTCTGTCTCCCTTGTGTAATGTTTAGTTAGGCTGGTTTTGTGCATGGGGTAATTCAAACTTACCCAGCCTGCTCCCAGTTGAGTGCCGAGTTTATGAGCTTTGTTTCCAACAAGTTGTCCTGAATCCGGCCTTGACGCTGTTCCAGATGGTACAGCCAGGAACTAGTCTGGGTCAGTGTTACAGGAAGCCCCCCAGGAAGCTCACTGGGATCAGAACACACCACTCTGCAGCATAGCAGGCTCAGGGAAAGCCACTGTCTACACCTGCAGCCCTCTAAATCCAGAGCCAGCGATGCTCACCCAGAACAGGCCATCTACACCCAGAGTCAGACTCTACACAGCCCTGGAGATGCCTAGCCTCACAGGGCTCTGTGGCCCTACTGGTCCCTACTTTCTCTGTGCAGCCCCAGCCTCCACTTCCTCACCTGACCCCTCTACCTCCAGGCATGGGCTTGGTGAGTTTGGGTGGGGAGTGGCTTTGGGGGTCAAATCTATCAGCGGGTACTGAAAAGAACCTCTTCCCACCCCAGGCCCAGGGGACCCGATCCTCTGCACCTAAGCCAGGACCCCAACTCCTGCTCCCACTCTCCACCCCTCAGTAATGACAAGGGAGAGCACCCCCCCTTCGTCTCCCCACACGTCGCCAGCTCCCTTTTGCTTTGCCACCCTGACCCCGCGCTACACACTCCTCCAAGCGACCTCCAACCCCACTAGGTACCGCTCCCTGCCTCTGCTGCCTGTCCTATTAACCCCTCCCCCTTTCCCCAACGGAGAAGCTTGTGCAGCCTGGGGTCCTCACCTTTTGCATCTTCTCCTAGTAGGGCGCCACCTCCTTGCCCTCCAGGCAGATTTCCTCACCGCACAGTAATCTCTCTATCCTCCCTTGCCCCACCCCCGCCCAGGCTTACCTCCACTCTCACCCCAACTCGGGCTAGCCAAGCCCTTGCTTCATTCCCTCCCCTTCGAACCCTACCTCGGGCTGGCGAGGCCCAGCCTCTATCTCCTCCCGCTTCCAGCAAGCCCCACCCCATGGCAGAGAGGCCCCGCCTCCATCTCGCTCTCCCTGCAAGTCCCGCCCCGCGGCCCCTGCCCCTTGCTGACCCGCTCGCCCTGCTGACGCCACAAAGCCCCTGTGCCGCACTACCCCGGCGCCCCCAGGCCCGGCGGTCACCCCATGGACTCCGCCGCGCAAACCCAGCCTTTCCCAGCCGCGTGTGTGCGTGCTGGGCCTGGGCGCCGGGCGCAGTGTAGGGCCCTCTTTTGTGAGTACTAGCTCCTCAGAGACTACCTCCCGCCGTGTCTGGTCAAGCCTCTGACTCACCGCCCCGCCGCCCCCCAATGCCATCCTTCCCGCTTCTGCTAGGCTTTTCTGTCCCTGGGGAGGGTCACACTTGGGACCATGGACCAGTCTGTATTCTCAGTTCCTTAGATGAAGCCCAGATGGACAATGGGACATTAATGGGACATTAGGAGTGTCCAGAACCCTGAGGGCCACCAGAGCTTCAGCCTAAGCCAGACACCCATGTCCACCTTTCCCCTGCCCAGCGGTGTCCCCCTTCGGGCTCCTGAGGACTGGGGGCTGGGAGCTAATGTCACCTGCTCTGCTTACAGAGGGCTCTCTTAAAATTAACGTGGACCCACTTCAGAACATCTGTGGACTCCAGAGACGCCACGGCTTTAGGGATTGCAGAAGAGGGGTAGGAGTGAGCGCTGGGAGCTTAGACAGGTTCAAATCCGTTCTCTCTACTGGTCCCAACAAGGACCCTGTGAGGTAGGGAGGGGAAGGGTCTCCCCATGCATGAGTCCTGCCTCTTCAAATTTGGAAAGGTGCCTGTGTGTTGCATGTGCCCTGTGCATCTGCATGTCTCTGTATGCAAGCATATGTGCACATGTATGTATACCTGTGGGCATGCATGTTTACATATACCTGCGTGTGGTATGTTTTAGTGTATGCATTTGTACACATATACCATGTAGTGCACACGTTTACATGCCTGTGCCTATGTGGTGTGTTTGTGCATTTGTATGTTTTCTATGTGTACGTGTGTTTGTAAATGTGCACATTTGGGGGTATTAGTGTGAGCCCATGTTTGCATACACCTGTGTATGTTTTGTATTCATGTGTGCATGTAAGCACCTGTATTTGTGTGTGTGCACGCGCGCGTGCACGTGCACGTGCATAGTCATGCACATGCTTGTCTTTTCCACACTACACTTTGCTCCCTAATGGAAAAGCTGTCATCTCCCTGAAGTTCTCCTTCTTTTGTTGTACTGGGGTTTTGTTAAAGAAAAAAAAAATTATTCTGACAATGTTTAAAAGGCTCTTTATTGGAACATGTTGCAATAGAAGTGTTTCCTTAGTGCAGAAATGGGGCTCCCTCAAAACGCAGCAGAAGCAGGCAGGGACACACTGTGGCTGAGAGGATGGAAGCCATGTAAGGGGAAACTTGGAGGGAGGGGGGCTTCTAGCTAAACTGGCCCAGCAGGGTACCCCTACCCAAAAGGCAGATCAGGATTAGACACCAAAGGAGGGAAGGAGGGCTTGACCAAGTACCCAAGTGGGGCTACTCAGCAGGATTCTCTTTGAAGACTGGGTGGGTAGGCTGAAGATAACCCAGGGCTAGGGTCAGGCTGGAGGATGGGTTGGAGGGGCCCTGTGGCATTTAGCTAAAAAGGGTCCTTGTAGTTTCCAGGAGGCATTTCTACCTGTTATTAAGGAATCTAAAAATAACAGCTGCCGTGTGTGGTGGAACCTATCATCCTAACAACTGAGGAGGCTGAGGCAGGAGAATCGCGAGTTTGAGACCAATCTTAGCATCTTTGTTGAATCCCTCAGCAGCTTAGTGAGACCTTGTTTCAAAAAATAAAAAGGCCTGGGGATGTAGCTCAATGGTAAAGCACTCCAGGTTTAATCCCCAGTATCAAAAATAAATTTTAAAATACAATAAAATGAATCAAACAGCTGTCAACTCCCTAACTGGCTTTCCTCCCTCATCAGGAAGAACAAGGGGGAGGACAAGGGGGAGTCTTGCAATAGCACTTTTGTTTTAGTTCCCTAGTTCAAATAATTCTCAAGTCAGAGTTGTGTCAGGCTCCTGTCCTCATCTATGAAGGGTGACTTTTAGAAGGGGCAGGCAGTGTGTAGAGACAGGGAGCCAGCCCAAGCACCAGGTCTGAGGCCAAGCTGCTATCCAGGAGTTTCACAGAAACCCTCCCTCACACTCCAGGAGACATGGATGCTGTGGAACTTGCCAGGAAGCTGCAGGAGGAGGCCACATGCTCCATTTGCCTAGACTACTTCACAGACCCTGTGATGACCACCTGCGGCCACAACTTCTGCCGCGAGTGCATCCAGACAAGCTGGGAGAAGACTAAAGGCAAGAAGGGGAGAAAGAAGCAGAAGGGCTCCTTCCCCTGCCCAGAGTGCAGGGAGGTGTCCCCTCAGAGGAACCTGCGGCCCAACCGCCTGCTCACCAAGGTGGCTGAGATGGCACGCCAGCACCCTGGGCTCCATAAGCGGGACCTGTGCCAGATGCACCAGGAGCCCCTCAAGCTGTTCTGCCAGGAAGACCAGACTCCCATCTGTGTTGTCTGCAGGGAGGCTCGGGAGCACCGGCTGCACATGGTGCTGCCGGTGGAGGAGGCTGTTCAGGAGTACAAGGTGGGCACCAGGTGGGTGGCATCTGGGGCAGAAGTGTGTTTGTGGATTGGGGCTCAGGAGCAGCACTAACAGCCCCACATGCAGGATCCTGTGGTGCAAGTGTCCTCTTGCTCATGGACAAAACGGGTGGTAATCAGGCCTCCATGGTCTGGGCCAACTTAAGCGTGTTGGTGTCCCTGAACACTACAGGACAACTCTCCTGATTTGAGCAAAGAGGGGGAAATTGTAAAAGTTAAAGTCAAAGGGCCTCAGCCTAGAGCAGTCACAGGTGAAGTGGCAGGAGGAGAATGAGTTTCACCAGGCTTACCTGTGTTGCTTACTCTGGGTTCTCACCTCCCACCCCACCAGGAGACCTTTGCTTTTCTCCTGATATAGGGAGAATGTTTTCCACATGGTGGTTTCCTCCCTCTTCAGGAAGAAGAAGGGATGAACCAGAGGGAGTCTTGCAGCTCCACTTTTTTTAGTTCCTTTAGCTCAAATGATGCTTATGGCACAGTTGTGTGTTAGGGTATCAGGCTCTGAGGTGGGGTGCTGGGTGTTGTGCTCAGAGGTGTCAGGGTGTGGGCTCTGAACATCACTGCTGGCTTGTGTGTCATTAGGTGGTGTATCTGAACCCCATGCTTTTCCTTGGGAAGGTCTTTGGAGTCAATGCAGCTCCAGAGACTACAGTTCAGGTTTGGGGCAGAGGTGGGGGAAACACTGACCCCAAGTTCTGTGGTTTTGTGTACCCCACAGTTGAAGTTAGAGGAGGACATGGAGTACCTTCGGGAGGAGATGACCAAGACAGAGAAACTGCAAGCTCAGGAAGAACAGACCTTGGCTGAATGGCAGGTGGGTGCTGGTCCAGGTGGGTCCTGCAGCCCCTCTCCCATCCTTTTTCCATCTCACAGGTCCCCGTGTCTTACCTTTGCTCAATGGGAGATGCTGTGAAAGGCTTCCTCGTCTCCATTGCAAGGCTACAGCATGAGAAAAAAAAAAAAAAATCTTTCTACCCTTCTGGGTTTGGTGGCTGGCCCAGGAATTAAACCTATATAAGACAGGTGAACAGGAGGGAAGGAAGACAATTTTTAATTATATAGACATGCAAGGAGTGGGAAGGAGGAGCCTCACACAAAAATTAGATTCAGATGGTAGAACCTTCTAGACCATTTGAAGCTTGTCAGAGGACACATTCCAACACGTTTAAAGATTTTTTTTTAAAGATGGGGT